TCATGCTCCTTCAAACTGCTGCGCAATCTTACTCATTCATCATTGTCAGTTTTTTAGTCATTTATGAGTATCCATTGCCATGGCTAATGATCTAGGCATCGTGCGGTTCTCTGTCCTCTTGCCCTTGCCGTTCAACGGTTTCACAGATGACTGCGAAGGCGATATCTGTTTCAACGCACTATATGCAAACATAAGCACTGCCTGAAGCCATGCTACGAGGTTAAAAATTTTCCTCAAGGATACTCCAGACCAAGCGTAATTTTTCTCTCTGTTGGGAGCAAGGAATGCTACAAAGTTGAAATTGTTATTCTGTTAATTTTATGCTTGACGTATTGCGCTGAGTTTTAGTTCGCTATCGAGTAGGAAGATTCAAGGCAGCTTTAAAGCGATCGCATCTGACTTCGATCATGCTCTGGCATATCTTTGTGTAATAACACCACAACACCATGCTGTCTCGATTATTCGCAAACCAACAAGTTGCTATCCGATTCTTGACTGGTTCCGTGGTAACCAAATGCATTCTTCCTTGACTACTTAATTAATAAAATAACTTATACTGTGTATCGGGTCCGAATGTTACAACACATTTTACAGACTGGCTGCGCGAGTAGGAGACTTAGCGAAGCATTAAAGAGTTTAGTGGAACTGCGTGACCTTCAGCGAAGTATTTTATCTTGAAGCCTAAATGAGCGTTTAGGAAACGCTAGTCGATTGTTTGAGCATTTGGCGATTCGCGACAACCTCTTCTTCCATAGACTGACCCAATTGTCTTAAATACTGACGCTTAAGCCGCGAATACGTCAACTTCGTAATTCTGCCGATCCCGCTTATGGCAGGGTTTGCGTCTAATATATTTAAATTTAATCAGCCAGCCAGCTGTAAACGTGATAATCCGATTGAACTCGACCTCAGGAGTAATACGAAGAAAAGTTAAATTGATGAATGAGATCCTATCCTGTACATGAATATGGATTGGATTCGACTACAATTTCCAACTCTGTTCACACATGTTAAAAATTTCAGATTGCTTAACTGTTCCTTGTAGGGGTGAGCCGTCTGATCATGTGCCAATGGCAGCTTTGCTTATCGCTCAAATTACTTGGTTTGATCACCCCTTAATTAGCTGTCTTAATTTTTTTACAAATATGACAAACTGATATTCGAATGTCCTCCTTTATTTTGTTGTTTGTTTTCCCCTTCGAATTTTGTCTCCAGGATAATCCATATTTACAAAACTTCTGGCTTACGTTACTATCAATTGCGTTCATGCACTGCATACCACCCATATATACAACGAAGCCATGACCAGGCTAAATAGATCCACGTATCTCTAGAAACAAGGGAGCTGTGCGATGTGGCCGTCGAAATTCAATTTTTCAAATTAGTTTACTCGAGTCATTGCGTCCAGCTGCAGGCCATCTGGCGAATCTCGGGTTGCGCGGAGAAACAACTTCTCTGAAAGAAGCTCTGCTGCCAGAAATAAATAGTCGCCGATAGGCAGCCGTAAAACAACCAGGGTTTGACTGGGTTCAAGCTGAGCAATTTCGATTTTCACAGAACCAGTCACGATATCCAATGATAGTTCCATGTCCTCGAGAAAAGGACACCATCACCGCTGCCTGGCGGTTAAGCATAGGTTCATTCAAAGGTTGAAAGAGAAAACCTCAATAAAAAAGGACGGAATTCAGAAACCCGCCTGAATTCCTCAGATCACCTAGTGACAGTCAAGCCCTGCCAGTATGTGGCACAACTTCGAGCAACGTGATAATACGAATAAATGGGCTTCAGAATGCTGAGCGTCTCTGCACCTTATCCCCAGCCGCAGTTGGACATTCCACTGACTGAGATGCCAAGAACCTCGGGTGGATGGCCGTCATCTGATATATAGACTCGAACTTTCCTCGCCGTTTGCATCTACAACTGTAGAACATTAGCGAGGAAAGAAAACGTTTAACCAACCAATAGGTGAAAGGTTAGGGATGGCCTGCGACAACCTCTGCTTCCGTGAGACATGACGGTGGAAGGAAATCAGTGGCATTAGAAAAGGCGGCATTTCGATTGGCTAGGAACAGGAGGGTGTGTAGAATAGAGGAGGAACCAGTTTTGTAGTCAGCAAAAGGTAGCTCCCCAAAATCATCCTCTACCATGTGAATTCATCAAGAGTGGGAACACTGGCCTCCAGCTGAACAAAAAGAAGATGAAGACCTTGAAGTCAATCTATACCTATATTCCCACAGCCGACGATGAGAAAGTGTAAGTGCTCTCAAGAACTGTAACTGTAAAAATTAGAGAAAACAACCGAAGA